GCAATGGTAGGGGAGGGCCCCACCTGAGGCTGGCAGGTGGTGGAAGGCGGTGTCAGCGACACAGTGGTTGGGTCGACAGTGATCCAGCAAATCCAGCAGTGGCATGACTGAGTTTTATGGACACGCAGGGACCAGTACGCAGCTATCAGGAGGGCCACCGCCCCACAGGGTGAAATGATGCAGTCATTTCCTTGCAAACCACTCAGGGCCCGGCCCAGAAGTGGAGGCAGCAGGGGAGTAGGGTGGGAACAGGGCCACTGCCCAGCTCCTGAATCATGAATCAGGACCAGAAGTCGGACCTCTGCTCACCCAGGAGCCACTGGGGCCTCACCCCACCAACCCCACGGCCAACCTTGTCTGCTCTCTGCTGTCCTCCCTTGAGGGGGGCTCTCTTGGCAGAGGGCCTGGAGGCTGGTGTCCGCTTGGCCTTCCTGGCAGCCCAGCCGGGGCAGGCTTCGAAGACAGCAGCTGCAGCTTTCACCCTCTGGCCCCGGGCACTGGGTGGGGCAGCACAGGTGGCCCCCACCCTCAGGTTCAGTCCTGTGAGCCACCTGAGAAGAAAGCCGGGTGAACCCACTGTGCTGATGGGTGGTTGAACTTCCTTGGGGGAGTGAGGAGGTTGTCAGGAGTAGGGCGTAGGGTATGGGGTCTCACGGGTGAGAGGAGGCCCTGCTGGGGTCCTGGCTCTGCGGTTCCCAATTATATGACTGACAAGTCGCTTCAAACCTCAGACCCCTTCTCTGTAAAAAAGAGACAGGGTGCCTGTGTGCTGGGAGTTAAGGGGCCAGAGCCCACATGGCCGATTGTGTGGTTCTAGTCCCAGGCCCAGTGGCCTGAAAACGGTGCCCTAAATCACAAGAGGAGAATGGAGAGAAGGGATTGTGTGGCCATCCCCCTGGGGTGTGCTTTCCTTCTTTCTGTTTCTGGCAAGCACATATACCCTCTAGCAAATTTAAAAAAAGAGAGGAGGGTTCATAATAAATAGCAACAGTTACACTACAGAGGGTCCACAGCTCCCAGACACTGCTTAAATCCATTATATGTTAACCAGCTCAGTTTGATTTTTCATTTGAGAGAGCGATTTTTGCTATAGGGCGCGTGTATTTGCCAGAGAGAGACAGATAGAAAGTAAGTAAGGAATCACCCTTCAGGAGGGATGACCACACCACAATCCCTTCTCCATTCTGCTCCATTCTGCTCTCAGGATTTTGGGCAAGCATGCACACACGCCTGGCATGAGTTTTAAGCTGCTGGGACCGGGATTCAAACCGTGGTTGCGTGGGTGTCCAGCAACATAACCATTATGCTATCTGCTGGTTCCCAACTTGGTTTTAATTCTTTCAGCAGTTACTGAGGTAGATTCTTTCATCCCCCTCTTTGCAGATGGGACAGAGGTTTGTGGCTTGCCTAAAGCTGGCTGGTAAGATCAGAGGCTGATGGCTCTAAGTCCTTGTGTTTTCTTACACAATAACGTAAAGTGTTCATGCATATCATTAGGTCCCAGCCCTCTGGGGAGGGTGGCTATCATTCCTACTTTGGGGGTGAGGGAATTGAGGGCCCAAGCCCCACAGGAAGCTTCGCTGACCCTGGAAGGGGCTCATTCCTGCCTGGCAGAATCTGCCTCCAACCTCCGCCTCCCGGAAAAAAAAAAAAACACCTGCTTGGCTGGGTAGACATGGGCCCCTAGAGAGCTGAAAGGGGCTGACAGAGCAGCTGTGGGTGTCAGACTGGGGGTGCCAGTGGGGTGCCCACCTGTGCAGCGGGAGCAGCTGGCAGTCGCAGTGGAAGGGGTTGCCGCTGAGGTCAATGAGCTCCAGCTGGCTGAGACTGTGTAGGGCGGGCAGGGCCCGAAGCTGGTTCTTCTGCAGGTGAAGGCTCTGGAGCCTGGAGCCCAGGCCTGTGAAGGCCCCCGGAGAAATCTGCAAGGTGTTAGGCCCTGGTGTGAGCTGCTCCAGACCAGTCCCACTCCCAGGTCTGGGAGGGAGCCCTAACCTACCCCAGCGGAAAGGAAGCTGGGAGCCCAAGGCAACCAAGGTAGGTCTGATGCCAAAGCACCTGATCTGTCCGAGTCACTCATGCAGCCTGTTCATGGTTCTTTCTGCTATGCCTGTACCCCAACCCCAATAGTGGCAGAGCCTCTTGACATGTACAACAGTAGGTAACCCCATATGCCTCCCTCCTCCAGCACTGTCCTCCAGGGCAGGCCTCTAGGCACGTGACACTGCATTCTGCCTGGCCTGTCCCCCACTCTGACGTAGCCAAGGGCAGGGACAGTGTCTGGGTTATCCCAGGATCTCCATGCCCAGCCTAGAAGCTGGCCGAGGGGAGGCCCGTGTTTATTGGTGCACGCTGCTGCATGTGGCCTGTGCTGCCTGCCCCCAGCAACAGAGCACCGGCCTACCTGCTCCAAGCCACTGCTGTTCAGGAACAGGTGCTGCAGCGACTGGCCCACAGGCCGCAAGGCCCCAGCTCGCAGCACCCTGAGCGGGTTCCCTGAGAGCCGCAGCTCCAGGAGGGCAGGCAGCCCCTCCAAGGCCTCGGTGGGCACCTCTCGCAGTTGGTTTCTATCAAGGTGCAACTTCTCCAGCTCCCGTACTGGGCCCAGCGCTCCGGGGGACACTTGGGTGATGCGGTTTCCACTCAAGTAGAGCCAGCGCAAGGCCCGCACCCCTGCCAGGTCCCCAGGCACCAGGTGGCCCACAGCGTTGTCCTGCAGGTGCAGGGAGAAGAGGCTGGGCAGACTGCGCAGGGCGGCCCCCGGCACCTGCTGGAGGCGGTTGCGCTCCAGGTACAGGTAGCCAAGGTGGGGGGCCCCTTCGAGGGCTGCAGCGCTGAGGCCCGCAAGCAGGTTGTCGGAGAGGTAGAGATAGATGAGTTTCCCGCCAGGGCACCTGCCTCCAGCACCGCGATGCCGCAATGCTGCAGGTGCAGCGACACCAGGTGGCCCAGGCCGGGGAAGGCCGCTCGGGGCACCGAGGGGAAGTGGTTCCGCCGCAGGTCCAGGAGCAGCGTGTCGTTGGGGAAGCCGCGGGGCACTGCCTGCAGGCCCCGACCCTCGCAGCCGCTGTGCCGGGACGCGGAGACACACACGCAGGCGCGAGGGCAGGGCGTGGGC